GTGCCAGTTCTGCTTCTGATCCAGCTTCCTGTTAATGCACCCTGCAGACCAGCAGATGGCTGAGGTTCATGGGCCCCTGCCATCCATGTGGAAAATGTGGATGGAGTTCTAGGCTCCCAGCTTCAGCCTGGCCCAACTCTGGCTGTTGTGGGCGTTCAGGGAGTGAATCAGCGGATGGAACATACTTATATGTGTGTGTTTCTCTGTTGCTTTGCCTCTCAGGTATATGAAGTTAAATATTTCAAAAAGAGGGATGGGGCGGGCATTTGGCAAGGTGGTTAACGTGCTGCTCGGGATGCCCGCATCCAATATTGGAGTGCCTGGGCGTGTGTCACGACTCTGCTCCTGATTCCAGCTTCCTGCTAATTCCTGATTCCAGCCTTCCTGGGAGGCTCACGTAATTGGGTCCCTGGCACCCACTTGGGAGACACAGACTAAATTCCAGGCTCCTGGCTGCAGCCTGGCCCTGCCCAGCCCCAGCTGTTGTGGGCATTTAGGGAGTAAGCCAGCAGACGGGCAATCTCTAATTTCTAAGAGGCAGATCCCAATGTCTCCTGGTTTTTGTCCATGACACAGAAAAGCTCCCTCCTTCCTTCTGTCCTGGCAATTTATTGTCGTCGTGTCAGAAGATCTGCAGCAAAGTCCAGCCTGTAGCTTTTGGAAACTTGGAGTGTTTTTTGGGAGAAAAATCCACACATATCAAACCACATTTGGAATCCCTGTGGTGAGTTTGTGGTGGGGAGGGAGGAAGCGGGGGAGGGCTGGAAGGGAAAGCGCTGCAGCCTGTTTCTTTGGAAACCTCTCTCCTCCTTGGAGCAGAGTTTGTCCAAGTTGGATTGGAGATGGGGATGAAATGGGTGCGATGTATACAGACACCCTGGAGGAGGAGGCAGACGCTGGGATGGGGATTTGGGTGGTGAAATCTGCGCTGAACTTTAGAGTTTGCAAGTGCTTTCTTGTTTTTTTTTTTTTTTTTTTATCTTTTATTTAATGAATATAGATTTCCAAAGTACGACTCATGTGTTACAATGGCTTCCCCCCCCATACCGTCCCTCCCACCCACAACCCTCCCCTTTCCCACTCCCTCTCCCCTTCCATTCACGTCAAGATTCATTTTCGATTATCTTAATATACAGAAGATCAGCTTAGTATACCTTAAGTAAGTATTTCAACAGTTTGCTCCCACACAGAAACATAAAGTGAAAAATAATAGATGATTTTTTTTAAATGATGATGAAATCAGATCAGACCTATTGTCATGTTTAATCCCAGTGAGAGTCAAGTTGGGAATTGATAATTTCTTTTTCTTTTTTTTTTTTTTCTTTTTTTTTTTTACAGAAGATCAGTTTAGTGTACATTAAGTAAAGATTTCAATCGTTTGCACCCCCATAGAAACACAAAGTGAAATATACTGTTTGAGTACTCGTTATAGCATTAAGCCTCAGTGTACAGCACGTTAAGGACAGAGATCCTACATGAGGAGTAAGTGCACAGTGACTCCTCTTGTTGACTTTACCAATTGACACTCCTGTTTATGGCATCAGTAATCTCCCTATGCACCAGTTATGAGTTTCCAAGGCTATGGAAGCCCCTTGAGTTCTCCGACTCTTATCTTGTTTAGACACGGTCATAGTCAAAGTGGAGGTTCTCTCCTCCCTTCAGAGAAAGGCACCTCCCTCTTTGAAGACCTGTTCTTTCCACTGGGATCTCACTCACAGAGATCTTTTTGCCAGAGTGTCTTGGCTTTCCATGCCTGAAATACTCTCATGGGCTTTTCAGCCAGATCCGAGTGCCTTTAGGGCTGATTCTGAGGCCAGAGTGCTATTTAGGACATCCGCCATTCTATGAGTCTGCTGAGTATCTCACTTCCCATGTTGGATCACTCTCCCCTTTATTTATTCTATCGGTTGGTGTTAGCAGATACTAGACTTGTTTATGTGCTCCCTTTGACTCTTAGTCCTTTCATTATGATCAATTGTGAACTGAAATTGATCACTTGGAATAGTGAGATGGCATGGGCACATGCCACCTTGATGGGATTGAATTGGAATCCCCTGGTATGTTTCCAACTCTACCAATTGGGGCAAGTCAGCCCGAGCATGCCCCAAATTATACATCTCTTCCCTCTCTTATTCCCACTCTTATGTTTAACAGGGATCACATTTCAGTTAATTTTCAACACTTAAGAATAACTGTGTGATAATTACAGAATTAAACCAGTCATATTAAGTAGAACAGACAAAAAAAATACTATGAGGGATAATGTATTAAGTTGTCCATTAGCAGTCAGGGCTATGCTGATCAAGTCACCATTTCTCATAGTGTCCATTTCACTTCAGGAGGTTTCCTTTTTGGTGTTCAGTCAGTTGTCACCAATCAGGGAGAACATATGGTATTTGTCCCTTTGGGACTGGCTTACTTCACTCAGCATGATGTGTTCCAGATTCCTCCATTTTGTTGCAAGTGCTTTCTTGTTATCTTGACTACAAATGGCCATTTGTAGTCAGAGAAATGGATTTCCCCCTAGGAGCCTGCATTGTGGCACAAAAGGTTAAGCCTTTGCCTGCCAAACTGGTACCTCATATGAGCACTGGTTGGAGTCCTTGCTGTTCCACTTCCAACCCAGTTCCCTGCTAACGGACCTGGGAAGGCAGGGGAAGATGGCCTAAGTGCTTGGGCCCCTGCTACCCATGTGGGTGACTCAGATGGAGTTCTGGGCGCCTGACTTCAGCCTGGCCCACCCTCTGCTATTGTGTCCATTTGAGGAGTGAACCAGCAGACGGAAGATATCTCTATCTCTGTCTCTCTCTCTTTAAAGATTTATTTTTGTTTATTTGAAAGACAGAGTTATAGAGAGAGGTAGAGATAGAGAGAGAGAGGTCTTCCATCCGCTGGTTCACTCCCCAGATGGTGGCAAAGGCCAGAACTGTGCTGATCTGAAGCCAGGAGCCAGGAGCTTCTTCTGGATCTCCCACACAGGTGCAGGGACCCAAGGACTTGGGCCGACTTCTGCTGCTCTCCCAGGCCATAGCAGAGAGCTGGGTCGGAAGTGGAACAGCCAGGACTTGAACTGGCTCCCATATGGGATGCTGCCGCTGTAGACAGTGACTGCAGACAGTGGCTTTACCCACTACATTACAGCACCAGCCCCAATAAATCAATTTAAAAAAAAAAAGAAAAAGAGATGGATTTCCCAAGACCACACAATTGAATAAAGAAAAAACTAGAACCACACCCAAACTAAAAACTTGCGGATTGGAAAGCTCCTGTGCCACAAAACATATTTCCCTCAGTTCATCTGGGAGGACTCAGGTTCTACTATTCAAAATTCATTTCTTTGGAAACTTGGATTTTTTCCCTCCTATGGGACATCTGATTTGAATTCTTTGGGAAGCTTTATGTCGGAGCGTGGCTGCCCTTCCACCTGGGTGGAGCCTCCTCCACAGTAGCTTCTCAACAGGTGGAGAATGAGGGGACTGAGGGAGGGCGGTGGGCAACTGCTTGCCACCCCAGGGATGGTGATGACATTTTATAGGGGCTTAGGAGGCCATTTAGGCATAGTGGTCCTGGAAGCCCCTGGAAGGGACATCAGGAATAGGGTGGAAGTTCAATTTCCTTCTTGCTAGTGGGCCAACGAAGGCCTGTCCAGGGCCCTTACAGCTCCAGCATTCATTTGGTTCAAGGAGAAAACACTAAATTCCTTGGAGTCGTTACTTAGGCTTGAAAGTTTGGAACGTCTGTGTGAGCAGCAGTTCAGGAACAATTTAGTCAGAAGTGGTGTTTCCTGTACACCTACCTCTAAGTTTAGGGGCTGCACTGTTTCCTAGTGGGATGGATCGCTGGTCCTGGACTCACAGCACTAGAAGGAACTCCACAGCAAGAGAGACACTTAGAGGGCCTGCATTCAGGGGGTGAGACCCAGAGGTAAGGGACTTGCCCATGGCCACAGTGGAGTTAGTTTGGCCCAAGGTGCTGCGGTCAAATGCCCTTGTAAAACTCTAATGGAGGAGATTGGAGAGGGAGGGTTGGAAACCATTTTAAGCATTGGATTATGCCAAGTATTTTTCCAGAATTAAAAAAATGTGACAACTAAAGGGGGCCTGGGATGTATTTTTAAGCCATTTGGGGGTGTACTGACATTTGAGTATTTCCAGTTTGCTCTTATTGTTTGGATGATTAACAGTACAACAGGAGCAGCAGCAGCAAACTCTTACATAAAATTTATCTCTAAATGCCAAATCAGTTCCTTTCTCTAAATATAGTATTCAAAGGGAGGCATTTGCATAAAGTAGTTCTCTATTAACTGTCCCTTTGTGCTTGCAAATCAGGTAAGGGCTGCAGGGTTAGAGAAAAGCCTTGCTCTCTGCCTGTTCTCTGCTTGGGCTCTCTCAGTTGGAGACCTGGGAAGAGTAGCAGCCCCACTCAGTGATCAGGGTCCTTCCTGTGAAGAGGATGGGGGTCTCCAAACTCACGACGCCTCCTTTCCCTCCTCCCCCTAACCAAAGAGGGCAGGAAGGGACAAACAGGTTGCTACTCAGCCTACTTCAAGTCCAGGAAACACCCTGCTGTCTGCAGAGCCCAGCTCTGGCCCGTGGCTCAGGTGGGGAAAGGCACACCAGACAGACACGTGGGGAAGGAACTGTGGCTCTGTTTTCCTTTTATCTTGCAGAAGAGGAAGAGTACTCCCTGACTTAAGCTGTTGCTATCAGGAGTTTTATTCATTGTGTTCCTACTCTATATAGTTTCTCTCAATTTAGTTCATAGGACTTTGATGGGTTTCTCTTCCTCCCAAGGAGTTCTGCTGATTCCTCCTCTTTCCATGAGGGCCTAGGCCATCCCTCAACCCAGGACATAGTACCACCTGCCTGGATGTCCTCTCGTGGCGCTACTCGTCACGGGGCAGCAGGTCTGATAGAGCTCCTCAGGGCCAGCCTGGGGAGCTCGGGGGCCGAGCGGGATGATGAGTGTTGGCGGCAAAGGAACCACACCAGAGCCGGGAGATCAGTCACCGCCAAGGGCGCAGCCGGGTCCTCGACTTTATTGGGAGGGGGAAAAGCTTTTATAGACACAGAAAGGGGGCTGTCCAGGGCACAAGGGAACTGAGCCAACCAGCAGAAAGGTAAGGCAGGACACGAGCCGGGCACGCCCTCAAGGGCCTATCACAGCCGAGGACAAATACTGTTCACGAATACGGAAGTCTCCTGTCAGGCTAGGTACCTCCCCGGGAGGCCATCTTGGATTGTTGGGAACGCTGAGTCACTGGGATGCGGAAGTGCGGCTAACTCCAGCAAAGGCTTCGTGGCCTTGTTGAGCGAAGGCTTAGCAACTTTGTTTCCTTTTTGATTGGAGCCCCCACCCCCCACCCCGCCCCGCATCGTGGGCCTTTGGGGCAGTGACCAGGTCCCCAGTGCTGTCATTCTGCTGTGTTCACATCTGCCCAACTCAGTGGATACTCACTGAAGAGCAGGCCTGGTCTGTGCCTGGAGAAGGCAACAGTGGAAAAGTCGGGCATCTGATCTTGTGGAGCTGGTAGGCCAGCATGGGAGATGGATGGGATCATTAAAAAGAATCACCCACAAGACAGGGAGAGATGTCATTGTGTTAGGTCTTTTCTGATAGACCCAAGAAATCATCTACTGGCTTGCTAAGATTTGAATATTTATCCCCCTGACCTCAGGAGTTTAGTCCTCAGAGTCTTATGTTAATGGTACTAAGGGTGAAAACTCAATTCAATGATGTTGACTAGAGGTGGGCATATAGGAAGTGATGAGATCTGATTAGGTCATGAGTGGAGACTCCAGGTTTGAATCCTGTGGCTTTATAAGGATAAATATCGGCAAACCTGTGCTCCCAGTCTCTTGCCATGTGTTGCTCTGTGCCCCCTGGGGACCCTGCCAGTGGGAAGGCCATCATCCAAAGTCAAACCAATGGGGACCTTGATCTTTGACTGTGAGTCTCCAGAATGGTGAGACAAAATAAACCTCTTTTCTTTATAAAGTTTGGATGTCTTGGGTATTTTGTTGTAGCAAAGAAAAGCTAATACACTGCTTGATGCACAGAACAAATGATGTTCAAAGAGGGCTGATGAAATGCTTGGAAACGTTGAGGGGGACCAACTGGTTTCAAAAAAGAAGATGAGGAAGGAGTTCCTGCACAAGATGGCAGCTGGGTAGGGGATTGTGGAGCGAATAAGAGCCTGACAAATCAAGATAGGGCATTCCAGGCAGAGAGAGACAGGGGCACACAGGCTGGGAAGAGAAAGGCACAGGTGAGCTCTTGGAACAGTCGGCAGTCATGGGGGTGACGGTGGGGGACATGGGATAAAGGATGGAGACGTCAGTGGCCTACACAGGACATCTGAGAAACTCCCTCGGGCCTTGGCACTCACTTGGCACCTGACCACGTGCTGTCTTGTGCTTGACTGTTGCTTTCCTGTGTCTGTGAGTTCTTGCCTCCGTAAGCTGAAGCACCTCTCAGGGCAGTGCTACTGACCCTTATCTGCTCTCCTCAGTACTTGCTCAACCTAGAGCTGTGTAGCCAGTGCTCCCTAGGTGCTTGGAAAACATACTAGGGGGAGCTGGGCTGCTGGGTGAAGAGGTGGGACTCACAGCTCATGGAGGTTGGGCTGGCTGTCCTCGGTCTCCCTCTGCCCAGCATGTGGCTCTTGACAACTGGTCTGCTCCAGACTTCAGGTCGAGGACTCCATATGATGCCTGCAGTGTGCAGATGATGTACCTGTGACCAGGGAAGGAAGTCACATATTGTACCTTAGCACAGAGGGAAAAGGGCATCAAGTGGGACCCTGGGGTTATAGAAATATAAACAAGCAGTATTATACACTAATACAAATTCTAACATAATTATTCCATCAGCCATGGCTCATAAACTTCCAAAGTCCTCATTATTTCCTAAGTAACTAGAAAAATGCTGAGCACTTCAGGCTTCAGAAAGCAGAGTTACCCTCTCTCTGACTTCTCCCTGCCCGTCTTTCACCTGTTCCCTTTTCTCCCCAAGGCAGGTCAGGGAAACTGGAGTCTTCTTCCCTAATGTGGGTCCTAGAAACTAAAAACATATTCTAATATTTCTTTCCCTTCCTTTTTTGGAGCTAGATGTAAAAGAATCCTCTACCCCACTTTGATAGTAGATCTTAAGACCCTCATATCCTAAAGGGTCCTGCCCCATACCCTGGGGGCGGGAATGTTTTGCAGAGGGACCAAGAAGAATCTGAACAGACAGGCCTTGCTGGGATTTCTTACTCCATCTATTATCATTAACTGCATTCTTTTTGTCCAATCATATTGCTGCATGGTTGTCCCTACTTCAGCCATGCCTTCATAAAAGCCCAAAAGGACAGGGGCTGGAGACCTTCTGGACAACTGAGCACACACAGGCTTACAGGAAGGTGAACAAGAACCAGTGCGGTGCAGCCCAAATCCACGGGGTAGACGCTCCTGCACTCAGGATCCTTCCAGGCCTTGCTCTAGGTATCTTTTTATCTGCCTGTGTATTTGTTGCCTTTCAAATATCCTTTATAATAAGCTAGTAAACGTGACTATATTGCTTGTCTGAGTTCTGTGGGCCACTCTAGCAGATTAATTGAATCTGAGGAGGGAACGCCAGTTTGCAGCTGGTCAACCAGAAGTGACAGAGGTCAGGGCTTGCAACCTGTGGCATATGATGCTACCTACAGATAGACAGTGGCACTCAGCTGGTACCTGCTACAGCTGAGTTCACTGCTTGCTTGCTGGTGAGGAGACATCCTGAGACATTCTGAGGTCCCACAAGTGAGCTGTGCTGTGTATGGAGGAGGAGAAACTGAACCTGACTTTGTTTTTCCTACTCAGGACCTCAGGCGCCCAAGTACTTACTCAGGTGCATGTCTGCATCTCTAGTAGGGGAGATCTGCTCCTTCCTAGAGCTGTGAACGCTGGGAGTTTATGCATGTGAAAAGATAGCGGCTAACGTTTGACTGTTGCTTCCTGGCCTGCATCCTTTCACCTCATATGAACCTCAAAGTAGGGCAGATGCTGTTCTAATTTCAATTTTGCAGATGGAGAAAAAACCTGAGGTTCATAGAGTACAAATGACCTAATGGAGATCCCATGGTTATTCCGAGGTGGAACTGGGTGCGGAGCCCCTCCTGACTTCTGCCACTGTCCTTTGCTATCTATGTAAAAGAGGAACTTGCTGATGGACAGTGAAATACCGAGTTCCAAAGGCCTTTCATATCCACCAACTGCTGCTTCTGCTGACAGGGATGATAAACACAAAGTGCTGCTATTTACGAAACATGTACGTCACGGTTTTCTTGAGATTGCTGTAGCTAACGAAGAGGCAGGTCTTTGTAGTCATGTGGCTCCAACTACTGCACGGACTGTTACTATGGGTTCTGAAGATTGTATCAGAATTGTTTTGAGCAATGTCTACGAGGCGCGATGACAAGCGCTGGCCAGGTACTCTGATGATATCACAGTGCCTGACCGTGTTTGTGAGAGTTGCGTGTGCCTCTGTGTCTGACAAAATCTGCCTATATCTTCACAGCTATGTCATGAATGAATTTAAATCACTCTTTCATGTCTGATCGTCAAGTGGTGCAGGTGAGGATGGGAAGGTTGATCACAGTGTTTATGAGGAAACGGACGGGTGGTTGTCACTTGATGCCTACTAAAATGTGCTGGAGCTTAGGCTAAGCCTGATGCATTGAATGATAGTACACTGAGACGAGTGCATTCCAGAGTCTTCCTGATTAGAGGAGAGAGTGAAGGGGTGAGAGGAAAGGAATGGTAAAATGTGGCCAATGGTAAGGCAGGCTGTGCAAGACAGAAATGGCATGGATTGGTGACAACCCAGGGCAAAGCCTGGCAAAGTGCTTAGCCTCCCATAACTGGGGACAATGAAAGTAAGAGGGCCAGGGGCCACCTGTCACCCTTTCCTCTGCAGGTTACATCTCAGGGTGTTCCCTGTGGACGTTCCAGAAGAAAGGGGTATGGTCATCTTGGGGGAATGTGTGGTTTATGTTAGACTACTGGAAATACCACATTACTGGAAAGATGCACATTGGGTGGCTGACAAAATAAAATTAAACTTTCCAAATGTTGGCAATGATAGAATATTCAGTTCCAATGACCATGTTTTCTGAAAGATTGTGGCTTTGAATCATAACAAATGCATTCGAACCATGATAGCCACAGACAGGACACAAAGAACAACGTGTCCCTGATCCCATGGAATAGCCCTCTGCAATCTGTGAACTCTAGAACTCGACTGGGAGGACGCTGACAACCCTGTCCATGGCTGGCCAAGAGTAGGAGCCACTGAGGCTGTGGAGATTGGGTGTCCAAGGGCCTGCCCCCACTCCAGGAGATGTCTGAGCCATCTGGGGTCATGGGCAGGGTGTGAGCATTGCGACTCAGAGATGGGACTCTGACTCCTGGCTGCAGGGGGCATGTGCAGATCTGGAACCTGGCTCTCATCAGCCCATCAAACCAGGTAAGTTTTTGGAAGCTGGAGTTTATAAAAATAGTGGGAAGTAAGGCATTGTAATTGTTGAGCTCAAATACCTTCTTGGTTAGTGGCCACTTGAGCAGGAACAGGAGACTGCTCTGTCTTTCCGGGGTTAGGGAGACATCGGAATGTGGTTCCAGGGCCTTGTCTTTGGAGTTGAACAAATGTGGCTTTGTACCTCCACTCTGCCATTAACTGGGTGACTTTGGGCAGACAGTTTCATTTTGTGGAGCCTCCGTGTCTTCATCTTCGCCTGCAAAAACAGAGGCAGCATCACTTTCTTTCAGGCTGTGGAGGACAGTAAATCAGACGAGGCGAACAAAGCACCCGGCACTGTGTCTGATGCGTGGTGAAAGGTGGTTTTTAAATGCATTAATTGGCATTTCTAATACAATGACCAGGAAGAGGGGGAGAATGGATACTGGCATCCCCATATGTGGTAATGTGGCTAGTAACAACGTTTCCGTCAATGATGGACAGCAGCTAGGATGATGGGCTCATAGCATCACATCAACTAGGGGCCAGTGTTGAGGCACGGCGGGTTATTCTGCCTCTTGTGGTGCTGGCATCCCATACGGGAGTGCTGGTTCAAGTCCTGGATACCCTGTTTCTGACTCAGCTTCCTGCTAATGCACCTGAGAAGGCCAAGCACTTGGGCCCCTGCCACCCATGTAGGCGACCACGATAGAGTTCCTGGCTCCTTGCATCAGCTGGCCCAGACCTGGCTGTTGCAGCCATTTGGGAAGTGAACCAGTAGATAGAGAAGATTCTCTCTCTCTCTCTCTCTCTCTCTCTCCCTCTCTCTCTCTCTCTCTCCCTTTCTCACTCCCTATCTCTATCTCTTTCCCTGTCTCTCTCTATCTCTGCCTTTTAAACAGATAAATATTTTTAAAAGATTATATTGTCTAGTCATATCATAGCCAGCCATCATTAAAACATTTATTTATTCATTTGAGAGACAGAGAGCAACACACACACACAAACACATACACACACACACAGGGAGGGATAGAAAGAGAGACAGACAGACAGACAGAATGTGCTCCCATCCCACCAGAAGGTTGACACTGGGGACCAGGAACTAAAGGCAGGTCTCTCACGTGGGTGGCAGGAAGCTGGAGATGGGAGCCAGAGGTGGGCACTGAACCCAAGCACCCTGATCCGGAACAGGGACATCCTAAGCATGGCTTGACCTCTAGGCCAACGTCCTCCTCCACAGCCCTCATGGTCTGTGTAAATACCCCCATAAAGTCACAAAAAGAAATTGCCCTGGGCTGGCGCCGCGGCTCACTAGGCTAATCCTCCGCCTAGCGGCTCCAGCACACCGGGTTCTAGTCCTGGTTGGGGCGCCGGATTCTGTCCCGGTTGCCCCTCTTCCAGGCCAGCTCTCTGCTGTGGCCAGGGAGTGCAGTGGAGGATGGCCCAGGTGCTTGGGCCCTGCACCCCATGGGAGACCAGGAAAAAGCACCTGGCTCCTGGCTCCTGCCATTGGATCAGCGCGGTGTTCCGGCCGCAGCGTGCCGGCCGTGGCGGCCATTGGAGGGTGAACCAACGGCAAAGGAAGACCTTTCTCTCTGTCTCTCTCTCTCACTGGCCACTCTGCCTGTCTAAAAAAAAAAAAAAAAAAAAAAAAAAAAAAAGAAATTGCCCCCTGAAACTTTTCTCAGAACATGACCATACTTGTCTCTGCCACACTGTTATGGAAAGAATGAAGATGATGAAAACTCACTACAGAGCTTGAAGCTATGTATGACACACAAGACTATTACTACAAAGCACTTAACTCATGAAATGATATGTGTGTCTTGATTTGGGGGCTGGAAAGAGCCTAATCCTGCTTCCCCTCTGGATGGGAACATGGTGATATATTTTGTCATAGGACAGTAACTCAGGCTTGTAAGTGAAAATGAGTTACTGGTCCTTCCGTTTTCCACACTTTGAAAATGAGGAAAGATCAGAGAGCGACTAAATGATTTGTCTGGGGCCATGCAGCTAAATAGTGAAGGAGCCGTGAGGAACCAGCGCAGGAACTTGGGTTTCTAGGCTCCCCCAAGGATCTTCCCAGCTATTCCATGAAGAGTGGCTCATTCAGGCTCTGCCAGGAATCACCTAACCCTGGCTGAAGACCCTACAAAACCAACACCCCATAGGTAGCTCTAGATCACCACGTTGCCAGCTGCATTCCCAGCACACAGGTCAAAAACTTTCACTCGGAACAGATGGAAAACATCAAGAAACAGAGGAGCATGCTATTAACATAATAAATAATAATGAGGTCTTTTTGCTAAGAGCAAATAATCACTTCCTTTAACCCTACAATGCACAGGGCCCTGTGGATTAGGAACTGAAAGGAGGTACAAGAAGCATTAGAAATGGTTACTACACAGGAGGATTCCGATGGACAGATTCATTGCTTTTTGTTTATTCTTGAACATCCTCTGAAGGTAGACACTGGGCCTAACCCTGAAGATATAATAGTAAATTGTCCAAATAAGGTTCTCAAATTTCTTGTGATTTGCTGAAAGACAGAGGCAAGGGCACAGGCAGCTACAAAGCAGAATAAAAACTGCAGTGATGGGGAGGAGACAGGGCACTCTAGGTTTGGCACCCAGACTGGGGTAGGGGGGTATCAAATCAAGGCTTAGCAGGATAACACTGGAGATTTGCAGACTGAGTGTGTGGGGCCAAGCACACACTGCATGAATGGCATGGTGGGTGGGAAGGAAGGAAAAGTATTCCGGCTGGAGTCTGTGCTTGTGGCATGTGTGAGGAGCCCGAGACCGAGATGTTTCAGGCCTTGGTGATGGGGGTGGACAAGAGGATGAGGAATGTTGAGAAATGGGACCAGGAGACAGAGGACTCTGAAAGGCCCGCTGGACAGTTCATGTTTTACCTGAAGATCAATGGGATAAAGGGCTCGAAGCAATTTTTGTGTTAGAGTCTTAGAAAGGGTTCTCTGGTTAGAGTAGAAAATGGATTCAGAGCAGGTAGAACCAGATGCAGGGAGGCCAGTTAGAAGGAGGCTCGGGCAGTGATGGGGGCTTGAACCAGGAAATAGCCCTGGAAGGTGGAGCAAAGTTGGTGGATTTGATGGATCTTTGAGAAGTACAAGCAACAGGATCCAGGGACTGGCTGGAAATAAGAAATGAGAAAGAGGGAGGAAACCAACACTCAAGAAGAAAAAAAAATTAAAAGTAGCAGAGGTAGATGTTAACAAAGCAGTAGCAGGCGTTTTGCAGGACAAAGTTGGCAGTATGACCACGTGTTTTAAGGAAGGGAAAACAGCTGTGAGATTTTAAAGGGCTTCCAAAAAGAACTTCCTAATTAGAGCTGGGCCCTATGTGGGGGTAGGATTTTGATGGATGGAAGGGACATTCGAGGCTGACCAATGAGGCAAGTTAGAACAAATGGGATTTGCTAAGCAGAGTGTTTGGTCATGGCTTTTTTGGGAAAACTCCAAATAACTGGTACTCTGTTGGGTACTAGCTCCCTTGTTGAAAGGAGAGCCCAGGAAGATGGTGCACCCAGAAGGGCATAGAGATCTTTTTGTATACCAAGGCCACCTGTGTAGGAAGCTCCAGGGGTTTTTGTATGACTTAGACAGCCTAGCATGACTGAAGCCCCACAGACACGGCTTCTACCATGAAAAAGACAAAATGTCCTTGCCCAGGAGTAATGAGTTCATGCTCACAGGTCTCCTGCTGTAAATGGTCCCCCTCCCCCACCCCCGCCCCTACCCAGTGCTGCATGCTTCTGTCCCGTGGTATGGCTTCACTATTCCTCACTCCCCGCAGAGCATGAAGGGAGGGTGTATGAATCCAAGGCTCTGGAAGACATGGCTGTGTAACTGGGTATGTGAAGCAGCAGCTCTGGCCCTGAGGGGCGAGTCTCTTGCCAGACGCCATGTCCTGCCTGGACACCCTGTCCTATACCTCTGGATACTGGTCCTCGTCTAGCGAGATCCACACCCAGCCTCCTCCGGCCCAGGCTCTAGGCTCTGATCTAGAGTTCTGCCACCTTCCCAGGTACTCCTTGCTAGGGATCTGCTGATGACCTCTAAGGTGAGTGTAATTATATAGGTGTACCCCTGGTACCCAGGGCCATGCTGGACTCTGTGGCATTATTGCCAGTTCTCATAACCCTCTTGCAAAAGCCCATGGTATTATCTTCATTTTACTGATGAAGAAACTAAAATATGAAATGACTTTGTCCAAGAATGCTTGGCCTATCTGTGCACTCTTCTATCCATCCTGTATGTGAGTAAAAACTAATATTGACCAAGGCAGGTGTTGTTAGGCATTTCACATTTGTTATATTTCACCCTTGTGTGGCTCTACCAGGATGAGTATTGCAGTTCCCTTTTTATAAAAGAGAAAATCAAGATTTGGAGAGGCTAAGTAATTATTCCAAGTTCACAGAGTCAGGCAATGGCAGAGGTGGTATCCAAACCCACATCTGCCTGACGCCAAAGCCTGCTCTCTCCATCTCTCCGGGTTCCTAACCGGGGTGAGAACTGAACTACTTTCCTCTGAAGCAAAGTTCCAAGTACCAAGTAAGAAAGCACAGTGATTCCAGGCTATAGCCACAGTGAGGCCACGCGTCCCAGTCTTTCCCAAGCCTACTCCTGTATGATCATGTTACGGTCTTTATAGCTGGGGAAACTGTAGTTCACATATGAACAAGGGTTCCGCATGCCACCATGCTCTCTCTCTCTTATTTTCTCAGTCTCCTCTGTATACTGTATGCCACATGAACATGGTTCTTGGGGTCTGGGCCAGTGACCCCACTTGCAGTGGTGCCTACATGCTGCTCCCCCACTCCCAGCCTCCTATTTGAAGGCCAGGACTACTCAGCTTTAGCTCAGGTTGAGTCATGCTGGGTGAAACAAAGAAGGGAAGGTCTGTTCCCTAGTGAATGAGAAGAACCCACCCACCTTTTGACTTTTCCTGTTCTGAAATGATGACAGTATCAAGTGACTCAAGAGTTCTCATACTCAGACTCGACTTTGCATTTGTCTTGAAAATAGGAAGACACCATGTGACCAAACGAGGTGAAAGTGGCTCAGGGAGGGGTGTAGAGTGACCTCGGGTGCATCAGGGCAGAGTGTGCGCGGATGGGCGGGAACAACAGCTCCTTGGTAGAGTCCTCTCTGCCAAGTGGAAGAAGACATTGGGGCCAATCAGTGGCAAACCTAAAGAAGCACCACTAATTCCCAAGCCCACCTGACTTAAAGCTGCAGTTGATTCTCATGTAGCTGGAGAGCTGCAGTAGATTCTCATAGGGGTTTTCAACAGAGCCATCAAATATGGTGGTGGTGGTCTTGGTGGAGGTAGTGGGGTGTTGCGAATGAGAACATCAAGTGGCTGCTCCAGGCCAAGCAGTCTGGCTGGGGGACAGATCAGGGAATGAGAGAAGGAGTCTCAACACTGTGTTCCTCTCTAGAGGAATGAGAGGATCTGAATCCACTACAGTCTGTTCTTCAAACATGACATAATTGGCCCCTTGCCCAGGGCTGCAGCTCAGCTTGGCTCCTGCACTGATTCTGGATCTGGGTGGTGACAACGGAGAACAAAGTTGGAAGCTAGAAGAGTTGACGCTAAAAGAGTCTGGAGTAAAACCCTTAACCTTGGATTATGTCCTCTGAGGAAACAGACGATTGCTACCACCAGCCTCAGGGGATGGTGATTAGGAGGATGAAATAACGTGCAGAACTGAAGATGCTATACAGATGGTAGTGACCAATGTGCTCACAGACATGGGTGACTTAACACAGTCTCACAGACCTGATGTCCAACTCAGAATCCAAGGCAATGGGACCATTATATTCCATTCTCTAGCATATAAAATACACGACATTGGCTATGTATTTATTGCCACTGGAAAGTTGGCTACAGAGCTTTCTGTCCTTTCCAATGAGTTTCAGCCTTCCCGTAGTGCCTGTGGGGCTCTGTGGGAGCCCACTGGAAAAAGCTGACTTCCATCCTGGTTGCTATGAAACTCCACTTTTGGTTCTGTTCTGTGACCATTCTCACATTATGAAAATTAGAAAGACATTTGGCAGAAACGTGCTAAGTGCCTCATTTTGTCGAATGAGGTTTTGATATTATTTTTGAGCAAAAAATGTCCAGATAGTTGCTGATAAAGGGTGGATATGTTAGAGCTGAAGGGGAGTTAGAGGATTCCTAGTTCAACCCCGAGAATTTTCAGATGAGGAACTGAGGCCCAGGAAGGGGAATGAGTTTTCTCTAGATCTCACACTTGGGTCATTCAGCCAGGATTAATCCCCAAGAGTCTGACTGCTCTTCATGTGCTCCTGCCCTTACCCCAAGGTCAAAAACATGGGTGCTTTGAGGGTCCAGGCAGGTAAGCAGGGCACTGGTGAGAGAGGGCTCCGGCATTGACTCTGGATCTTGGTGGTGGCAAAGGAGAACAAAATTGGAAGCTAGAGGAGTTGGTGCTTTCTCCAGTTGGCACTGGTGACTAAGAAGGTAGGAAGTGGTAGGATGTTACTTCCTATTTAAGTTTATCTTTCATGGGACTCCCTAGTGACTTGAATCTGTAAATTTATGTCTCTCATTAAATTGGGGAAGTTTTCAGCC